AGGGTCAGCAGCAGGCCCAGTGGGAGTCGTGGGAGCCTGAAGGGACCCTGACGTGTGCCTGAGCTGGGAGACGCCATTTCTAATGAAATGCCGGAGATACAGGCGCAGGCACGTAAGCCACAACCCTAACTTAAAAGGGCGTCCGTCTGAGTCAACCACTAAGACAGGGAGAGTGACCGTGATGGGCAGCGGCGCAAGGGCGATAGTGGCAGCTGTAGTGGCAGCAGTGGCAAGAGCGGCGGCTGCAGGGCAGCGGGGCGTGCAGGCGTGGCGCGTGGGGCAGCACACGAGCAGGGCAGCGTACGTGGGCACGCTAGGGCAGCGCGCTCACGGCTCGGGCAGCGGGCGGGCAGCTAGGGCAACGCGCGGGCAGTTAGGGCGCGCGGGTCGCACAGGGCAGCAGGGTGCGCGGGGCGTGGGGGAAGCAGGGCGCACGAGGCGCGCAGGGCAGCAGGACGCGCTGGGCGCACGGGTAGCAGGACGCGCGGGCAGCAGCGCGACGCGCGGGGCAGGGCAGCGCGACAGCGCGCGGGTAGGGCAGCGCGACAGCGCATGGGCAGGGCAGCGCGACGGTGCGCGGGCAGGGCAGCGCGACGCGCGGGGCAGGGCAGCACGACGGCGCGCGGGCACGGCAGCGCAACAATACACGGGCAGAGCAGCGTGACGCGTGGGGCAGGGCAGCGCGACGTGCAGGGCAGTGGTGCGCGTCAAACGGGGCAGAGGGGCAGTCTAACCTAATCGTAGGTTCGGGAGTAGGTTCGGTAGTCGGACCTAACCTAGCGCATGGTACCATATCAAAATGAGAACATCGGAAATGATGTGAGATTGGTCGCAGTGAGATACAAGTATGCAACCCTATAAGGGTTGTACCATATATGGGCTACCCCAATACAGCCTACAAGCATATAATGCATTTTGACAATTCTTAGTGGAATCCTTGCTCCTTTGTTATAATGCACTCATACATTTTCACACCATAATGTTTCTGAGTTTAATATTTGAGGTTGGTTTAGGTTCTAGGGTCATATTGTTGTCTTAACCGTTCAGATTGTAAGGGGGATTTTGAGCTGGTAATGTTGGTGGTTGGACCAGTTGTAAGTTTGAAAGCGGTTTGCTTGCTGAGATGAGTTGATTTGATGGTTCGATGTGATGGGATGGCATGGCGCCCCTCCATTGCGGCGGGTTACTGTGCACTGCACACAAGCTGCAGCGTTGCTGAAGAACTCGGTGGAGGGATGCACGTGTACTGTACAGACTGGACCCCACGACAAGAGTTGACATTTCAATCCTCGTGTGAAAGGCATTTGACATTTCTGTGGTACAGAAAGTTTATTGGCATCCACAACTCTTTTAGCTACGATCGGAACGCAGCAGGTGTCAAACCTCGGATGGTGTCCCAACTTTCAGTTGATTGAGTTCATTGACAGGTGTTTCTGTCTGGTATATTTTCTGTCACTACAAGGTCAAATGTTTCGATGCCCCTAGTCTGGGCTCATCTATTGTATACTGTGTGCAAAGGTTACCTGAAACCAGGCAACCTCCCCAATTCCCCACCCCCAACTCTTCTCCCCCTGTCCCCTGTGAGTTCAGGATCGATTGCCATTCTGAGGGCAGGTCCAAACAGCCACCATTCCGTTTCTTTAATTCACCACTTCGAACCGCTACGCACCAGTGTTCACCCTCACATGGATCAACAGTGAACCTGCTCTTGTGCACACGCTCAGGTTGTGGGGTGGGAACGTACAAAGGGGTGGGAGAAAGGCCGCAAAACAATACCACTTTTCGACCCCACCCCTGTAACATCTCTTGCAACTGTCAGCCAGAGGAGGCAATGGGATGTGTCGATTTTGCACCAAAATCGCATTGCACTTCCCAATCTCAATTTCAGCGCCCCCGCAAGCGTTAGGGTGATACCTCAAGGCATTTGAGGGAGCGCCCCTATACAGTACTGCCCCCGCCCCCAGATAATGGACAGCCCCCCTGAGTCCAGACCTGATTCTGTGAGGAGAGGAGTCTTGACCAAGTAGCGCCGCCGCGTCACGTCCAGGCCTGTCGAAGTCCCTGAGACCAAAACTTTGAGTCCTGAGCTGTGTGAATTCTGGCCCTGATTTTCACGGGCGCAGGCAGAATTCAACACTTGAAATCCGGGCTTCCTATGAAAGCGTACTTTCCTTAACGTTGGAGAAATCATCGTCAGCAAAAACATCGGGGGGTCCTAGGCAAAAATATCGGGGGGAGAGGTGGTTATTGTTGGGGGGGTGTCCTTCGAAACAGAAACCAAAACTTGGATTCAGGGAAGGCTCAAACGAGGCCCTTAACTGTCACGGGTGCCATGCGAATATAGCACTTTAAATGGTCGGGCTCCTCCAAGCGTAGCCCAGAATGTTCAGGAAATTAAGGATAAATGCCCTTACTTCGACAGCCCTGGTCACGTCCCTTCATGCACAACGTCCAGCGCAACCAAGTTCTGTTCTTGCGCCTGTGACTTCTTGGTGCTCAGCTCACCGCTGGTTTGTTGCAATATAAATCGGTTGAGTAGGGTCTTGCGGGAACAATGAACCTTATCTGATGACATGACAGTGACACCCACACCACATTTTCACTCGTCCTACAAAGCAGGTACTTGCTGCGACCTTCTCTTCCAACTGCACTAATACAGACGGTGCTATCTGGTTGCCTTTGATTCTGTGCAAGCTTTCGCTGTTGCAAGTTCCGAGCAACCCTTATGCACTGCATCTGCGCTCCATGGCGCCCGAAAGACTCGCTTGCGATAAAGCCTACAGCTATTCGTACACGTGCGATGGAAGCACTGTAGCAAGCTGGAAAGCGACTCGATACGCGGCTGTGTGCAATGCCGCCGTTCCGGCCGGCCTGAGATCGAATCTCAGGCTGAGTAGCCGCGTGCTCTTTGTGGTCCTTCTCGCCGCCGTTGTCGCCGTCACTCGCGACAGCAGCACCGCTTTCTTTTTAGGCATCTGGCGCTCCCGCTCCATTCTTCTCGGGGATCCCGCGGGCCCTGCGGGCGCGGAGGTGGCGGAACCGCCAAGATACGAGACAACACGGGGCCGCGCTTCCTATTCGCCGCAATTTCCGGGAGAAGATGTCGAGGCGGCGCCGGAATGGCCTCCGGCGCCGCCATTGTCGGCGGAGGCGGCGGCAGCCGCCGGCGCAAAATTCGCGCGGTCGACGGAGCGCCGCGACGGCCAATTTCTTCCCGACATTATTGTCTGGGCAAAGGTGCTGCTAGCTGTAGTAGCGGCGGGCCTTGAAATGCATGACGTAGCTACGTCATTGGTCAACTGTGCCACGTCGCGTCGCGGCGCAGTTCAGATCATGTACCTCCGGCGAAGCGCTGTGTCGTACTGATGCGGGAGACGACTCGTTTCGGATGAGTTGTGCGTGTTGTTCGTAACATGGCGCGGGCCGCGATGCATCGTTGATTGCCGTGCATCTCTCAACTTGCGGCACGTGGACGTTCGACACGAATATTCCACCAAGTCATTGATTTTCTTCAACGTGTCGTTGATTCTTGCTACTCTATCCGTCAGTTTTCTTCCTTACGATGGTCAAGTCAGCCGCGCCGCGTGCGGCGGCGCCGCCCCGATGTAGGATGCTGCTCCGTTATTTGACAACTGTTTCCTCTGTCTCTTCGCTCTCACCGAATTTGTGATTCCCTGTATCCCCACCTTACAACACTCATTTTCTGGTAACTACCCGCTTCGGACTACCTCCCACTCCCCCCTCCCCCACGCTCACAAACCCCCCATCCCATTTCCGCCGACCCCCTTCCCCGTGTCTATACCTCATCACCGCAGGGCCCCCTGCACGACCGCCTAGACGCACTCTGCGCGGGCTACGGCGTTGGCGCTCTGCTTTCCGCCGCCAGTGTCGCAACATCTACAGCAACAGAAGCACAAGGAGACGCAGAAACCACGTCTTTCACCGCTGGTTCTTCCACCGCCGACGGGGTGCTTCCGCTTCCGCTTGAACTCGCCTTCTCCGCAAACGGATCTCGGAGCTCGTCGCCGCGCGCGCGCTTGCGCCGTCCCCTCCGCGTGGCCGTGCTGTGGCTGCCCGACCCCGCGCTGCCCCACTCCCGCCTGCACCACCTCCTCGCGCCCCTGCCGCCCCTCTCCGCGCTCGCGCTCGAGACCAGTGGCGCAGCGGAGGGCACCGGTGGTCAAGAAGGTCAACGCGGTCAAGTAGGTCAACCCGGTCAACGCGGTGAAGGCGCTGGTGGTGAAGGCGCTGGTGGTGAAGGCGAGGGCACGCCGAGCGGGGGCGATGCAGCAACGCTGCTGTACCAACGGCCTGGCTGGCTTGAGAGCACACGCTACACCCCTGCGGTGCGCTGCTCTTGCTCCCAGTCACAACCCGCCTCTTCTCTACCCCACTCCCTCTCTACCCCACTCCCCCACTCCCTTCCTCCCTCTCTCCCTCACTCCCACACTCCAGACTTCGTCAGTCGCCCACCCCCTACCCCTCTAGTCACATTCGTTCCGCTCTTCGTTCCGTCTTCCTCACCCCGCACTCCCTGCTCATCTTGACAACCACACTCGCTCTCCCCAGTGCTGCTCTGCATCCTTACCGCCTCATCTTACCCCGTGCTTCCATTCATTCCTTTTTGCATGTCTCTGAATGCGTGTGTGTGTGTGTGTGTGTGTGTGTGTGTGTGTGTGTGTGTGTGTGTGTGTGTGTGTGTGTGTGTGTGTGTGTGTGTGCATTTTCTCGCACATAACCCCCATCAGAGCGTCACTCTACGCATCCCTCAACCCGCATCACCAACAAACAACCCCCGGTCGTCCCAACAAGCCTCCTCCTCCACCACCTCTGACCCCCCCCGACCCCTCCGCCTCTCTCTCTTCCTCGCCTCCTCTCTCGCACCCCTCCTTCCTAGCCTCTCCTCCCTCGACCAATCACAGCTGCACACGTCACTGCACCGCTGCTACAACCTGCTACAGCCGTCCCAGCCAGTGCAACGGCTTATAGCCAAGGAGAACATGACACGTGTCAGACAAAGCACAGGTGTCTACCTGGAACCCGTGTCCCTCTCCACCTCTCCCTCCTCCTCCCCCTCCGCCTCCGCCTCCCCCTCCCCCTCCCCCTCGCCGCAACCCACGTGCGCCTCCTGTCCGCCGTCGCTCCTCGTCAACTGCACGGCGCGGCGCCTCATGTGGTTCTTCCTGCGCGCGCCGCACGCCGACGCCACCGTCGCCGCCTTCTTCCCCTCGCAAGCGCTCGCCGTCGCGCGCTCCTTCCATGCCAACCGCCAGCCGCACCTGCTCTCCGCCACGCTGCGCCGCGCCGCGCTGTGCCGCCCCAACCCCCAGTGGGGGGAGGCCGCTCCGCCCGAAGTTCCCCCCGCGGCGCTGAGCGTGAAGGAGAGCGAGAAGCGGTGGTGGGTGAAACAGATGGTGCGTCGGATGCTCGTGGCGGGGGAGGGGGAGGAGGAGGAGATGCAGGACGCGCGCGCGCAAGGCAGTGCGCGTGGGAGCGGCAAGGGGCGGCCGCGGAGGCAGTCGATTCTGTGCGCGCGGCTGGAAGCCGCGGAGCTGTTTGCGCTGGCGCAGGCGCGCGGACTCATCCACGCGCAGCACTCCCCGCAGGCGGACCTCGTGCGCGCGCAGGCGCGCGCGCGCGGAGCTGTTGTGGTGGTGCGCGATGTGAGTGTCGCCCCTGAGAGTGAGCCCATGGCGGACGATGCGGAAGATAGCGAACAAGGGGAGGAGGGCATGGGGACGGGGAGGAACGACAGCGTGGGAGAGGGGGAAGAGGGGAGAGGAGCGGGCGGAGAGGGTGGTGCGGGTGCGCGAGAGGCAGCAAGCGGGGAGAGAGGCCGCGGGAGTGAAGGCGTTGAGGAGAGCGCGGGGAAAGGCTGGGCTGTTGCTGATGGTGCGGATGGTAGGGTTGTGACCCGGCGCCTCAGTGCAACGGATGGCCCCAGTGATAATGGTGGTGGCAATGGCGGTGCTGTGGGGAGAGGTGCTGCAATGGGAGGTGATGGGACGGGGAGTGATGGGGGGGGGGGGTGATGGTGGAGGAGGTGCAGAGGAGTGGTTTGAGGCGGAGAGGGCGCTGTGTGATGCGCCGGCCATGAAGCCCATGACGGAGCACCGCGTGGGGCAGCAACTCATAGTCGATGGTGAGACCACGTGCCATGCTGTGTCGTGCTGTGCTTTGCGGGATGAATGGTATCGGTCTGCCCTGCCCTGCTGTGCCATGCCATGCCATGCCATGCCATGCCATGCCATGCCATGCCATGCCATGCCATGCCATGCCATGCCATGCCCAAACAATGTCATACCATGCCATGCCATGCCCAAACAATGTCATACCATGCCATGCCATGCCATGACATGTCGAACCATGCCATGCCATGTTGTTGCCATCTCGTACCATGCCATGCGTACTGCGCGCCACACCCATGCGTTCTACTGTGCTGTACCCAAGGCGGCCTGCACCATCTGGAAGATGTGGATGCGCCAGCAGCACCACAGCCAATGTGTCCTACACCATCTTCATCCCTCTCTATCACTCCCCCCCTCCCTGTCCCCCCCCCTGCCCTTTCCCTACCCCTCTTCCCTGTCCCCCCTTAACCCAATCCCCGCCCCTCGCCCCATCAGAGTCCCTGGGGGTGTTCTACTGCGCGGTGCCCAAGGCAGCCTGCACCAGTTGGAAGATGTGGATGCGCCAGCAGCACCACGATCCCAACGCTGCCGACCGCTCCTCCGTGCACCGCCCCTACCGCTCGCACCTCCCGGCCGTCTGGTTCGGCATGTCCGAGCCTGAGGCCATCCGCGCGGTCACCCGGCGGGACCTGGTGCGGTTTGTGTTTGTGCGGAACCCGTTCTCGCGGCTGGTCTCGGCTTACATGGATAAGGTGGTGCAGGGCGAGGGCATCGGCATGCGCACCCGCATCGGGTGGACTCTGGTGAGTCAAGAACGCGTGGATAAGCAGGGTGTGCGAGAAGGGTGCGGGGGGAGGGGTAAGGGGGGGATCTGGGTGGATGGTCTGGGGGATCTGTATGGGGTGTTTGGATAAGGGGGGAGGGATGTATGGGGGAGGAGGAAGGGAAGTGGGGTTTCAGCGTGTGGGTGGGGGCATGCCTGTGTACTATCAGTGTGGCCCTCTTCCCTTTCACTTGCTCGCCCTCTTCTGCTCGCCATCTCCTGCCATGCTGCCGCCGCACATCCTGCCATCGTCCCGCCCCTCATCCCTGTCGCTTCCCGTTCTCTCGCGCCCACTCACCTTGTCCTCCACTCCCTCCCCTCCCACCCCATCCCTCCCTCCCCTTACATGCCTCCTTCTCCCCTGTCACAACCCCTCCCCTCTTCCCACCTCATCTCCTCCCTCTCCCAACCCAACCCCCCCCCCCCCCCCCCCCCCCCCCTCTCCCCCTCCCCTCCTCCTCTCCCTCCCCCACACCCATCACAGCGCTTCTTCTTCCGCTTGGCGACAGTAAGCCGCCAAACGCACCGCCCATTCGCCCTCTCCGACCTCTCCCACCCCTCGCACCTCGCTCCCGCGCTCTCCCCGTGGGGGGCGCTGCGCCTGATGCTGGGCGCGGTGGTGAGCTTCAAGGAATTCGCTCGCCTGGTGGAGGAGGCGCGGCGGATGGATGATCTGGTCGCCATGGACAACCACCTTGCACCGCAGGTGAGGAAGCAGGGAGATCTCTGCGCGGGGGCGTGTGCGTCCAATGAGGTGTGGTTGTGGGTGTCTGGGGTGGAGGAGGCGCGGCGCCGGGACGATTTGGTTGCAAATCACCTTGCACCGCAGGTGAGGAACTGGGAGGCCTGGGGTGAGTGTTAGACATGTGCATCGGGGCTATATTTAAATTTCGACTCGTCCCTGGGATTGGGGTGACGAGTCCGACTCTCGACCGAAAAAACTCGGTCGAGTCAAGCCGAGTTTTACTCGGCTAGTAATTAAAACTCGTCGGAAACTCGTACTTTTGCGCGAGTTTTTTTTTTTTTTTTTTTTTTTTTTTTTTTTTTTTTTTTTTTTTTTTTTTTTTTATAACTTGTGTTGTGTTGTATGTCGTTTAGGAAACATGTAGCTGTGGGTGACACTGTTAATTGACCGCGTCGGGTTGGTATAGGATATTTGCTCGCGCGAAATCATCTAGGTAGGTATAGGAGATTTAGGAGGTCAACTAGATCTAGATCTGAGATTGACCTTCAATGTCCTATTTTCAAAATCGTTTTTAGTTGGGTTTTCTAGATTCTGTGCGGTGCAGATCGGTAATGCTGGTGGAATAGGTGGGGAACAACATTGAAAGCTACGAATTCCATTTTCGACGAGTGGGGGACTGGGTTACGAACTCGAAATTGAATTTCAAAATTGAACTCCCAGGAAAACTTCGAAAGCACATTCCCGCTTCCCTAGATCGCCAAATTGCATTTCGACTTCGGCGAAATGCTCACTAGGAGAATCCGAATCTTTTCGTATACACACGATTTTTTTCCCGGGCAGCCCCTAAAATTTTCTGACTGGGTATAGCGTATTAACAACGAATAGCGTTTTGAGTATATTCGCAAGCGTACATACGCTAAACGCTTAAGGGTCCGAGCGTATATTCCAACTTAGCTTTTGCTCCGCTCGTTTAGTTAGATGTATGGGTGTCTGGGGTGGAGGAGGCACGGCGTTCGGACGATCTGGTTGTCACGGACAACCACCTTGCCCCGCACGTGAGGGGAGCTCATGGTGGTGTGTCGCTGCGGTGCCCAGGGTATGTTGTCGGTGTGGGATTGTGGTTTTTTTAGGGGAGTAGGTGGGACCTGGGGGTTGGGGAGGGGGAAAGGGAGGTGTGGGAATCCGAAGCGAGGACGGATGGGGTGCCTTTGCGTCTGCGCCTTGCAGTCACAATGGATGTGCCTTGCGCGCACGTGAGCCCTTCCATGCTGCAGTCGGTGCTGCAATGCCCGTTCGCACTGAGGAGCTTGCGTCTTCACCACCACCCTGCACACCCTACCACTGCATGTGACGCACATGCTTCCACCCTGCCTACCCATCTCCCCCTCGCTCTCCCATTTACCTAAACTCCCCTCCAATCACCCCTCATTTCCCGCATTTTCGTGTACCCCAGCGCAACCCCTTTCCTCAACCCCCGTCCCTCCCTCAACCCCCTCCCACTCCCCCATCTCTTCTTGCATGCTCTCTCTCTCCCCTACCCAGACCTTCCTGTGCGTATTGAGCCACATCAAGTACGACTTGGTGGGTCTATTGGCGCCTTGAACATAGAACTACTTCCCCCCCGTCCCCCCCCCTCACTTCCTCCCTCAACCCCCTTCCCCTCTGCCACCCCTCGTTACATGCACCTCTCTCTCCCCTCTGTGCAGACCTTCCTGTGCGGGTTGAACCACATCAAGTACGACGTGGTGGGGCGCTTTGAGCACATGCAGCAGGACGTGCAGGCTGTGCTCTCCGCACTCGGCAAGCCCGCCGTGGCAGAGGAAGAGCGCGGAGGCAAGGTGGAGGACCCGTTTGCTGCGGGCAAGGGCGTGCACTTCACAAACTCGTCCAACCGCGTGTTTGACATGATTCAAGACAAGGTGTGTGCTGCTTGTACGGTACGGGCTTCTCTGCTGCACGCCTCTCTGCTGCACGCCTCTCTGCTGCAGGTTGTGTATATTCAATTGAGATTTGTAACCGATGGTACTGATTGACGTTGTGGGGTACTCTGCGGGGTATTGGGTGAAAGAGCAACCAGCACAGCGAGGGAGCGCTGGACAATGCAAGCAGCGAGGGAAGGAACCTCGGTGCATTAGGTTATGGACGAGCAAATCCTGACTGACAAGACGCCTTCTGCATGTGCTCTTTTGTTGCGTGCATGGTGCAGGAGACCTATCTGAGGGTGAAGCGGATATACGCCATGGACATGCACTCCACGCTCAACGATCTGCACTACGACCCACCCGCAGATTTGGCAAAGAAGTTTGAAGGTTGAACCAAGGGGAATGGTGTAACATGTATGGGAGTTTGAGTGTGGGCTGGGTTGGCAATAAAGCTGCTTTGGTTGGCAGTCTGGGGCTTGGTTGGCAAGGTAAGGCGTTCATTTTTATGCATTTTTTTGTTTTTTTTTTTGTTTTCTTGCCTAAAGGTTTTTGGGGAAATGTAATAAATTATGTGATGTATCATTTGGACATATCCTGTACAATAATTGGAAGATTTTTCACAGTGCAGGGCTTTCCTGGACATTACTACCATCATCGCCCGGATAGTAGACATATATGTCTTATCTCGTACACTACTCAAAATGCTTGGGTTATCTTGTATTTGGGATGGTTTAGGGTGTCTTATAAGTCTTATAAATGGAAAAAAATATAAGTACTCTGTAACATTTGCAAAGTGTGTAGAAACCACCCAGGGGCCAGATTCATTGAAACAGGACGACCTCGGTGGTGATGCATGCAGCGCCCCCACTTGCCACGTGAGGGATACAGCAAAGCTGCCACTGCTGGCAACATCCCTCCGTGCTGGCAGCATGTAATGATGCTGCCAGCGTCGTTTTGCTGCCAGCAGCGCATGGATGCTTCCAGAACGCTGCTGGCAGCACGATGGCAGCGTGAGGGCTGTCCTCTACGAGGAGATTCCTTGTAGAGGAGCGGCTCGGCACCTTTGGAAGGGGCACTCTGGCTTGGGGGGGGGGTAGTCGGGCTTGAGCTTCATTTGGTGCTCAAGGAGGTTGGGATCTCAACTCAACCTTCGCTCTTGGCAGGCTTACCGTAACCATGCGCAGAAAAGTCCCCGTAGGCACGTCCTCACCTCGCCCTCACGTGCAGGTGAATAACTACGGGCGAATTAACTCGCCCGGTGATGACATCCGTGTGGCCATGGCGAAGAATACGCGCAAGGCAGGAACATCTACCGCCACCTCCGGTGCGAGCTATGACGAGGACGACGGCGACGAAGAACACGGCGACGACGTCGAGGAGGATTGGCCGGAGAACGGCCACGACGATAGCGCTTCGGGGGATGAAATAGCTCTTGCCGACATCGACGAGGACGACTGGTGGAATCGGCCGGTTGGGAGTGAGGACGAAGTGGAAGAGTGGCGGGCTGGTGATTCGGACAACGAAAAGGGTGCCGATGCTGATGGTGAGCCCGTGGAGGCAGCGGCGCATGCAACGGGAGCGACGGTGGATGTGGCCGCAATTGCGGATTCGGATGCGGATGCTGTGGCGGAGGCGGATACGGATGCTGCGGAGGGAGGTGCTGATGCTGTCTTATTTGACGGTGAAAACTCCGATGACGACCCGTGGAACATCACGGGTGACGACGATGTTCCGCTTCTTAAGCGGAGGCTGCGTCATCGCCTACAATCCAAGCCGAAGCGTGCCCGCGTGGTGCTCTCTGATGACGACAGTCCGGGGGAGGAGCGTCAACCGCGCTTCACTGCTGCAGACAAGGGGAAAAGCGCGGTCGCGGAAGCCCCTGCTAAGGCCACCGTTCGTCGCCGCACAAGCCACAAGAAGCGGAAGAACGACGGCGACCCCGGATCCAGCACGGGTGCTGCTAAGAAGAAGAAGAAAACGGCAAACATGGACGACATCGTGGTCAACGAGGCGCTCGGCAGCGACGATGACTATGCAGAGGCTACAGGCCCGATTCCTTGATTCCCTGAGAAGGCGAAGCCGAAAGACCCCACCCTCCATAATCCCAACTCCCGTCCACCTTCCCCTCGCAGCAAGGACAGTAAGAAAAGGTGACGTGGATGGACCGTACGCGAGAAGCTCAAATGGGCGCGCCGCTACCACGAGCTCGGCTTCTTGAAGAAGACATCCGTGGAATCTACCGCATCCATCGCCTGCATCAGACGCTGGTGTGCGGAGGCGGCTGCGGGCGTCTACAAGGGAGCGGCGAGCTGCCGCAAGCGGATGCACGGGGGGGGCCGCCACGCACACTACCCCGACATGGAGGCGGCGTTGTACCGCTACGTCTGTCTGCAGCGTGCTAATGGGGTGGCGATCTCGGTGAAACACACCCAGAAGTGGAGCCGCGAGTGGATGAAGAAGCACCACCCCGGCAAGAACTGGAATGCGAGCTCTCACTGGAGCCAGCGTTTCCGTGACCGCTGGAACCTGGTCATGCGTGTGAAGACCAAGGTCGGCCAACGGTTATCGGCTGGTGAGTGGTAAAGGCTTTGAATTCGCGCTCGATGCTTGATGTCATGTTCCTCGCCCTTTGTTTCTAACAATCCACTCCTGTCACGGCGTGTGTTCCCTTTGCAGAGTGCGCTAAGGACTGCGAGTCGTTCTGGAAGTTCGTGCGCATCAACAGGGCGTGCCACAACATCGACCTGGCCCGCATCATCAACGCGGACCAGACGCCCCTCTTCGTTGAGATGCCGGCCAAGAGGACGATCGAGCACCGTGGCGCGCGCTCGGTCCCAATCCACACTGCAGGATACGAGAAGACTCGGCTCACGGTGATGCTCGCGTGCACCGCATCCGGGGAGAAGCTGCGCCCGTGGGTTTGGTTCAAGCTGAAGAACGTGCCCAACTGTGAGATTCCGGAAGGTAAGCTCAAGGAATTCGGGAGCCGTAAGCCTGATGAGCTTGCCCTCCTTGGCTGACGCCCGTCTATCCCCTATGTGCCTGGCAGGAATCGTATGCCAAGCACAGGACAACGGCTGGATGTCAAACTCATACACTATAGTCTGTGTAGGCTGTAGTGGGGTAGCTTATATGGGGTACAACACTTTAGGGTTTGGTACTTGTACTTCTCATGCTGCTCAGTTCAATCATTCCTCGTTTCATTTTCACATGGTTTCAGAGCAGGTTCCCTAGTGGGAACGCTCTCTAGGGCCCACCTCGATATTTTTTTTTTTCCTGCCCGGAGCGCGCTTCGCCCCTGCCCGAGTCGCACCCCGAGTGCCCTCCCTACCGTCGCGCCGCCCTTAGCGGCCCCTTGAGCCGCCCTTACGGCCCCGCGCGCCACCCTTACGGCCCCTCGTGCCGCCCGTCGACCCCGCGCGCCGCCCTTGCGGCCCCTCGCGCGCCTCTCGTCGGCCCCGCGCGCCGCCCTTGCGGCCCCTCACGCCTCTCGTCGGCCCCGCGCGCCGCCCTTGCGGCCCCTCGCGCCGCTCCTCGGCCCCGCCGCCGCCCTTGCGGCCCCTCGCACCGCCCTTAGCGGCCCCTTACGGCCCCTCACGCGGCCCCTTACGCCCCCCCCCCCTTTTGCGGCCCGCCGTCGCCCACTACAGCAGCGGCCGCCGCCTTCCCTGGAGCAGCGGCCGCCGCCGTCGTCCCTTCAGCAGCGGCCGCCGCAGTCTCTGCAGCAGCAGTCGCCGCCGTCGTCCCTGCAGCAGCAGCTGCCACTATCCCTGCAGCAACCGAGCCGCCGCTCCCGCCGAGCCGCCCGAGCCGCCCGAACCGCCGAGCCGCCCGAGCCGCCCGAGCCGCCGAGCCGCCCGAGCCGCCCGAGCCGCCGAGTCGCCGAGTCGCCGAGCTGCTGTTGCTGCCGTGCCGCCGAGCCGCCGAGCCGTCCGAGCCGCCCTGTCCGCTACACCCGGTCACTGCCGTCGCGGCCCTGTTCCTGCCGGCGAGCCTCGGTCCTTCTCGCCTGCCCGGTAAGAGCAGCACCTCCACCACTGCACTGCCCTTAGCCTACTGCTCGCGCTGCTAGTCTACTGCTGTCATGGCTACCCCCAGTGTCCTCTCTTTTGACGCTGAGGGTCGGGCCATTGACTTTGACGTCTGGGTAGATGACCTGCAGCTTTTCCTACAGTGCGATAGGGCAGACGGTCTCTCCCTCTTTGACCTCACTTCTGGTGCCTCTCCTGCCCCTGCTGCTGATGCTGACGCCACTGTTCGCTCACAGTGGGCCACACGCGATGCTGCTGCACGTCTTGCTGTGCGTCGCCACTTGCCTACCTCTGAGCGTGCACACTTTAGCCAGTACAAGAGTGCTAGGACCTTGTACGACGCTGTAGTTGCACGCTACTCTTCCCTTGCCACTGCTGCACTTAGCCGCCTCATCCTGCCGTACCTCTTCCCTGACCTCGCAGCTTTTCCCACAGTCGCTGACCTCATTACGCACCTTCGCACTAGTGACATTCGCTACCGCGCTGCCCTTCCCGCTGAGTTCTGCGCCAAGACCCCCCCCCCTATGTACATCACCCTCTACTACATAGTCACCCGGCTCCCTGACACCCTTCGCCCGGTCAGGGACCACTTTCTCTCTGTTTGCCCCACCACCCTCACCGTTGATCTCCTCGAGGAGCGCCTCCTAGCGGCAGAGAAGAGCATAGTCGCTGTAGGAGCCTCTCGTGGTGACCCTCGTGCCCCTGTCTTTGAGGGGTGCTCCCCCTCTCCCCTCTTGCCCTCTGTTGCCTCTGCTGCTGCGGCCGACCTCGTTGGTCTTGAGTCGGTCGGTGCGGCGTCTGCCCCTAGCGGGAGACGCCGCACTGGCAAGGGCAAGGGGGGCAAGGGAGCTGGAGGAGCTAGCGGGGGCGGTGGCGGCGGCGGTGGAGGCGGTGGAGGGGGTGGGGGTGGCGGTGGGGGTGGTGGTGGGGGTGGGGGTGGGGGCGTCAGTGGCGGCAGTGGAGGCGGCGGCGGCGGTGGCGGTGGGAGCGGAGGTGGCGGAGGTGGCGGCGGTGGAGGAGGTAGCGGCGGAGGAGGTGGAGCTGGTCGGGGTGGCGCTGCGCAGAGGGTCGGCTCCGGTGGTGGTCCGCGCCAGCAGCAGCAGCAGCAGCAGCGCACCCGTGAGATCCCTCCCCCTCAGCAGCTTCGTGAGTGGTACGCTGCACGTCAGCGAGGTGGGGGTGCTGGTCCGTGTACCTACGTCCTGCGCACCGGCGACCGCGCGGGTGAGCCGTGCGGGGGTTCGCACTCCACCCAGCGCTGCTTTGGCCGCCTGACGGACGCTTGGCGTCACCAGTTCCCTGAGGCCACTGAGATCCCTCGCTGGGGCGAGCTGTCTAGGGCGGGGGTTCCTATCTTTGAT